ACACACACACACACACACACACACACACACACACACACACACACACATACATACATACATACATCCATATCACACAGAAGCCAAATGCATAGGAAATGAGGTAATGTAGAAGTATCAAATATGGGCTGGAGAGATGGCTTAGTGGTTAAGAGCACTGTCAGCTCTTCCAAAGGACCCGGATTCAATTCCCAGCAACCACATGGCAGCTCACAAGCCTGTAAGACCCAATTCCAAGAGATCTGATGCCTTCACACTTACGCACATAAAATAAAAAATAAAAAAGTATCAAATACAAAAACACTCTGAAGGAAATTGGCAGAAAGCGTGAAAGTTAAGTTTTAGGGTATCAGCTTCATCACTAGCAGGAGCTGATTAATATGATAGGAAAAGATGCCTTTAAGTTAGTTGTGAAAGACCACTGTGTATCTTTTGACAGGTGACTTATGTTACATATCTCTATACAATTTATAACTTTCCATAGACAAAGGAAGGGGGCCGAAGAAGATGGGCAGGTATGGACAGAAAGGTGACTGCTTTTTCCACTCAAAGCTGAATGACTGCTAAGTGACTGGCGGCTCCCCTCTTTCTGAAATGGAGATGTGAGGAAGGGTCTAGCGCCTGGGGAAAAAGGATGATGGACCAATGCTGGGTACCACTGTGTCCTGAAGTTTAGCACCCATGCCCTACCTCTTCAGCGTCTAAAAGAAAAGCTGAAGTGGATACTAAAGGAGATAAGGCCAAGCCACAGAGAAGAACCACAATTCTGCTTATCAGTTCCTCCAAAGTCATGCCCGGGCTTAGAAAGGCCTCTACAAGGCTTTGGAAGGCAAAAGCGAATCCTGGCAAGGATGGGAGGAACCCTCCAGGGCTTGTGGACAGCACAGCAGATAAGGCTGACAATGCTGGAGAGGCAGGTGAAGTGTGTGTATTGTTGATAGTTCTACTTCTGTGGCTACACAACTTGAAAACTACGTCAAAATCAAGCTCTATAAAAACAATCTTTTCTTTTTAAAGCCATGTTGCTAGCACACAGAACCCTTCAGTGTTGTGGGGGAGCTCTCATGCTAACAGAATGTTTCCAAACTTGGCTGAGGTACAGGATGGAGAGCACCTCTCCCTGCTAATTAAGACTTTCTCTTGAATTGCAGGCTGAGGGATCCCCTGACATGTATACACAATGCTACCTTAGTGAAAATGCCTTGTGGTAAGGCAGGAAAACTCAAAATTTATTTCCATTTTTTTCTTCCCCTCTTTGCATCAGCATAGACTCATACTGTCTTAAAAGGCTGAGCTGTGCTGGGATCTGGAAACCTGGCTTTGCCAGTCTAGGCGACGGGGACTCACTGCCATGGCGTTACGTCAGAGAACATCATGTCCCTCTCTAGTACATGCATGGCTGCTTACACAATGTGGAAATGACTCATGCGGAGCTTCAGGCTGGTATCTCTGTCACTATCAATCCCTGAATGTCAGGGATGGCTTATGACATGATGGGATGGTTGATACTGACAGGATGTAGAATCACCTAGGAGACAAGCCTCACGGTGATAGTCCAGATTAGACCAGTTGAAGTGGGAAGATCCAGCTTGACTGTGGGTGCCCTCATTCCACATGCTGGGGTCCTGGACTGCACTAACAGAAGCATGTGAGCTGAGCGCTGGCATTTACCATGCTACTTCCTGCCTGGCGGTGTCCTGCTGCTGTGACTTCCCTACAGTGATGGCCTTCTCTTCAACAGTAAATCAGAGGAAACCCTTCCTTTCGCAAGGCACTTTGGCCAGATGCTTCTTGTAGCACTGTGAGAGCCACTAATACACAATCTTAATGCAAAAAGTCAATCCTCACTCTAAACCTTCTCCATTCAGGACGCTAAGTAGAGACTTAATTGAATTTTACGGTATATTTCTAATTTTGATAGATCATATATGAAGGGAGTTTGAAAACTGTTGTATAATGTTAATGACCACCCATGTCCTGTTTGAAATATCATGATGGTTCATGAATATATCTTTAGCAAGTTAGATACAAGTTAGTATGCGAAAAGTAGCAATAGGCTTGCTGTACAAAGCACCTAGTATAAATATTGAACTCTTAAATCAAGAAAGATCGGCTATTACTACCTCAGTATTTCCTTGTTATAAAATTCCAATAATTTTAGATGTTTAATAAACGAATGTTATCAATAATGAAATATGTAATCAAATGCAAATATTTATACAAGAAATCCCAGTTTTATAAAAATTACATGAAAGTTGCTTCTTAAGATTCATGAAAGCATGTCATTAGAATATCATCTAAATGAACAAGATTGCTCCAACCATATTAGACATTCCATTAATAGCTCATGTCCAAAGAACATACTTTATCTACTCTGTAAACTTTTTTCTTTCTGATACTGTTCTTTTAATTTTGATGTTATACAGATGAAGACATTCCTGGAAGTGTGAAGTAATAGTGATAGAATGGAAAGAGTGAGAACTGGCATCAGAAATCCTGAGTTCTAATATTTAGAAGTTCTAATATTAGAGTTCTAGTGTTCAGTCTGGGTATGGTGCATGCCTTTAATCCCGGCAATCAGGGAGGCAGAGGCAGTCAGATCTATGAGTGTGAGGCCAGGCTGGCCTATAAAGCAGACAGCCCAGGATACACAGAAACTCTGTCTTGAAAAACCAAAAACCACACACACACACACACACACACACACACACACACACACACACACACACACACAAAGAATGAAGGGGATAAAAACCCACTAATGCACTGGAAATACCACTGGTAATTGAGAACATATTGGTAACTACGTGAAATTATAGTTAGATTAAGGGACGACATACAACTAAAGTTAAAAGGATAACCTTGATGACCTAAACCTCCCATATATACACACCTATATAAAAGTTAAAATCTTGAATCTGAACCTTAGTGAAAATATGAGACTCAGTCTGACTTATTCTTAGCATAGGTTTTGACTTCAATCTACTGCCCTGCAAATGTAGTGACTTCATTTTTCTCTATGGCTAAATACTAAAATCTAATTTTGTATATATACCACATTTCCTTTATTTATCTGTTAATAGATATCTAGACTATTCCATTTGTTACTGATTTTGAATAGTGCAGCAATAATCACTAGATGCATTCATGAATATACACACACATGAATATAGGCCATGAAACTAAAAGGAGACCATGAGAAGTAAAGAAGAAAAGATGTTATAGAATACATGTGACATGAAGGAACAATGGAGATATTTGACGACAGGAAGGGGACCAGCAGGAAGATAGTGCAAAGGGAGTAGGATACAGTGATTAATAAAACAAAATATGTATGCCATAATGAAATCCATTAATTTGTATTCGAATTTTAAGAAAGCTAAAACAAAAAAGGAAAATTTATTCAAACGTGGAAATTAAAGGCACAAAAAAGATAGCTTACATTTTAAAGAGACATTGGAATAAGAGAAAAAGCTTTAACACTCGCTATTTGCTAGATTTAATCAACTTTTTTTTTTTCTTTTCAAAACTGAGGGCAGAACAGTGAACTGACAAGAGCATGAAGATATTAGAGATTTATGGAAGCCAGGTGCAAAGGAATGAGTATGGCCATAGGATATGCTGAAGGATTAATTTTGAGATGAACATGGATCTCAAATTCTATGGAAAAGATACTGGCAAGTGAGAAAACTTGTTGAATGGCTCCTGTTCTCATCATGAATTAAGGTTAAATGGTAGTAAAACCTCATAGTGTATCCTTAATACTTTAGAAAGCTTTAATTTGAACAGGAAGTGAGTGCCACTAATATAGGACAAATGTGCCTATGCACTGACTTTATATATGGCTCATAAGCATGGATTTAACTTCTGGTTTTTGTTGTTGTTATTTAACTGCACAGTGCTAACTAGATTGAATACCAATTTTTAGGCTGTAATCTGCCAAAGGCTGGAAAAAGTATATTCTGATGAATGATGGTTGTAAAAAGCTAACAATCTCTATATAAACTCAAATGCATTTGTGCTAATTTGTGTCTGAGGTGGAAGGTCACTGGTTCTTTTCCTTTGTGGCTATAGGTATTATACCTGCATGTCTTTGAGGCGTGTAAAGGAAAACTAACTTATAATGACCTTAAAAGTTTCTTCAGGATGCCAGCACACACTCATTCCAGGAGAATGAAGAAGAAAATGAGCTGTCTGCTTTCCTTCCAAGCTCCAAATCCTAATAACAAAAATAATAATAAAAAAAAAGAGTATGATGTGAAATATTCTTGATGTATCGTACCAAAAACATAAATACTTTGACCAATGTATTCAAAGCCATTAACCACAAATTATTACATACTTGATATTATTATATAGATTATTACATGTTTGATAAAACATCTTTGAGAAAAATACGGTTGTTAGAAAATATAAATGTAGCATAAACTTAAGTTTTACCATGCTCAATTATGGGAACAAAGGCATATATTTTCCAGCAACATATTAATTATTTATATATTCATTTTAAGCAAAATCAATGTTTCTAGGCCATCACTCAGGTTGCATGCCTATTTAAATCATTTCAATAAACAATTATTCCTATCAAGGGTGCTTATACACACATGTGCACGTGTGAACACACACACACACAAAATCACTACACACCAGTGTTTCCATTTTCAAAATGACATATTGGAGAAGAAAATATGAAATGATAGAAATTTAGTGGTGCAACCATTTTCCGTCATGCTTAGTCCTTGTCCCTTTGGGCATACCCTATCTCAAAAATTTCTGACCTGGCTGACTTCTCAGGTGTTTTCTCTCCCAAGCTGGCCATGCTTACCAGTTTCCAGATTAAAGATGGGCTAAAGAAACAGGTCCTTGGGTCTTTACTATCTAGAAATAATTATCAGGGTTTACAAATATGGCTCTTCATCTCAATGGTTTTTTAACCTCGTGGCACTTTGATGTGATAATACTATCCCAAGGGAACTATGCTTTTTGGCTAGCTCAGGACTCTCCCTCCGCCACTGTTACACAGTGTGTGCTGGGGACAGCTAGCATGGCAGGAAGTAGAAGTCCAGTGACTGGGTGGCAAAGTGCCTCCTCTCCTCCAGCAGTGAACACATTCAGAGCTGAGGGGTGTGGCTCAGTGGAGTAAGTGTTTAGCATCCATGAGGCCCTGGATTCTATCCTCAGCAACCCCCTAATAATGATCAAAAGTATTCATTAGGATCTTTCCTTTTTCCTATAGGTTTTATAGTTCCTTTTTTTTTTTTTTTTAGGACTGTAAAAACGTTTAAAAATTTAAGAATATAAAGTAAGCAAAGTTTATTTGTAAAAAGTATAGGATGTCAAATTTGAAATATCATAGTAACATATAAACTAGCACACATTTCAGGATCATCTATTTGATTTAATATTAGAGGCATAATGACACTTCATTGATTTTTACTACATAAAGAAGACAGTTATGGTTTAACTGAAGAAATAAATCACTAAGGGTTTAAGTTTTTGTCCTTCAATCCCTAGAATGAGATATTAAGGTAACAAAATCTCTCTATTGTCATTTTCATAATGAGATATTGCGCTACCATATATTTTATTACTATTGGAACAGTAGAAATTTGTCTTCTCAATTCAATGAATCTCTTAAGAGGGTGAACTAAAACATCCATTCTTTTATTTTAAAATTAATTTGATTTTTGTTGGCTATTATATAAATTGAACAAATATATGCCAATATTTTCATGCTCCCCCTTTTCAAATAAAAAAAAAAAGAGGTGAAAAATAGAGAGGTAGTTATAAGAACAAGTCAATTAACTGAGTATATTGTGGTCTAATGAACCAAATTTTATTCTAATTTAAGCTCTATTTTATCCTGATCAGAACCTGACAATCCTTTAAAAAAAAGGGGGGGGGGCTAGCTTAAGCATGGGGGGGGGCGCCTACAGATTATATTTCAGAGAACTAGGATGCAATGATTTATGGTTTGTAATTATACACTGATTCAATAATTCCCAACTGTTGCATAACCTCAGTACTAAGTGTGCAAAACACAACAAATTGGACTAAAATAAGTTATCCTAACTAAATTAGCTGCAGATGGTACAATTTAAGTTGTTACATCTTATTTCCCTTTTTGATAGATTCCATAATTAAGTGCTTTTGTGAAAATTCTTTTGTAGAGCTCAATTCATTTTCTATCTTTACAAAATGGTTCATCTAGCAAATACATTAAGCCCATTTGATAATGTCACACTTCTTTTTCTTTTTTTGAAGTATATCATACATACAAATGGTACATGCAGCTTAAGTACACAAAACAGAATGCACTCACAGGGAGCAGCAGCCAACCCCAGAGCATCCCCCAGCACAGAGTCACATCACCCCTGCTCTTCTAGTGTTTCCGCTCTCTTTGACAAAAAGTGACTGTCACTACTGTGACTCCTAATGAGGTAGCTTACATTTTAATAGCATAAAAATGAAGCCACAAAGTGTGTACTTTTTTGTTCTGGCTTCTTTTACTCACCTTCAGGTTCTGTGAAAATGTCTCACACAACTGCATGCTGTTCTAATCCCTCCACTCATTTCAGAACTCTCAGTAGAATACAGCACAACAGGTATTTAGATTGCTCCCAAGTTTTTACCCATAATGTTACTGTAACCCGTATATGTCTAATCTTTGTGAGTGCAGACCTCCATATAACCCACCCTCTGGCACTAGGCAACTACTCCCATGCATCTTTACTCTCGGCTTGGAACATACCTCGGCATGGGACTGGTGGATCGCAGTTCACAAATGTATTTAACTTTGGCAAGATAGAGATTTGTCAAACAGTTTTCCAAGTTAGCTGTACTATATTTTATTCTTCCTCCACACATAAATTAATACCATAAAATGTAAAACTTTTATCTTATGTTCTAATAAAATACAGTCACTTGTCTGAATGTCAAAAGCTGTAGTTTTCCAGATGATTTTATAAGACAGATTTAATTTCTAAGACTTTTTTTTAAATGTGTGTATCTCTATGTGGGTATATGCATGTATGTGCAAGTGCCTGCAGAGGCCACAGACAACAGATTTCTTTGGAGCTAGAGCTATAGGTGGCTCTAAGCATCCTCAAGTGTGTACTAAGAAACAAACCTGTTCTCTATAAGGATTGTCCTCTACAAGGATTGTCCTCCACAGGGCAGCATATACTCTTAATCATCGCACCATCTCTCTAAGCCCTAAGAGAGTCCTCAAATACAAAAGAGTCCTACTCTTTCCCCCTTGCATTTGATGTTATTTTCTTGATCTATGTATGGATACATTTACACAAATTTTAAGACATAGTTATCCTGGTTGTTTTGTCTGTCAGTTTTACACAAGGAAGAGGTGCCTGGGAAGAGAGGCCTCAATTGAGGAAATGCCTCCATTCAGACTGACTACAGGCAAGTCTGTGGTACATTTTCATTAGTGACTGATGTGACTGGACCCACCTATTCTGGGTTGTAGAAGAAAGGCTGAGCAAGCCAAGGAGAATAAGGCAGTAAACACTATGCCTCCATGGTCTGTTTTTATTCCTGACTCCAGGTTTCTGCCTGAGTTCCTACCCTGACTTTCTCCCTAAGTTGCTTTTTTGGTGATGGCATTCTATCACCCTAACAAAAACCCTCACTAAACAGTGGTAGCACAATATGCAGCAGAGTCCTAATGACAAATTCTTCCTATCTCCCTCTGTGATATAAGAGAAAACTGTTGTCTAATGTGCTCTCATGTGCATGTTATATGCTTATCAAGAGACAATGAGTCTTCTGCCTAGCAAAGCACTGTTTGGTATGTGATTCCTTATTAGTTTAATTACTTAGTTATGTAAACTGACAAAATAAAAATACAAAAGAGCTATTTCAATGAAATGAAGTTGATGGCAAGTAGTTAAGACTAAAAAAAAAAAAGAGCTGAATTAGGTATGTGAGAGAAATAAACACAAAAAATTTCATCAAATATTGACTTATTTTGAAATGACTATTTTTAACCAGGCTATTTACATTGTAATATTTTATTATGGTAGTTGCTTATAAAACAAGAAAGAGAGAAAACATAAGGAAGTACATGTAAGAGCAAGGATGCTCCAATGGGAACTAATGGATTAACATAAAAAAAAAAAAAAAAGCTTCGCCTTACTATCCAAACTTTGGCAAATGAATTTTCTTATGTGTGTTGGGTATTAAAATAAGGTGACAGGCATGATTTTAAGACAGTTTTGTAGCTTTCTGCTTTTCTAAAAAACTACTGGTTTAGTTCATGTCAAACAGGAAGGCTTCCTATACAAAAACAAAACAAAACACACTCACATATTGTTTTTGGAAATTCAGAGCTTAATAGTTCCAAATTTCTTTGTCACCAAATGTGCTCATAATATTTTTTAAAAATCTGGTACACTAGAGAGCAAGAAAAGCTTTAATCAGGGCCTAGGCTGTCTCCATCTGAGGCGGAGCACATGTCTACATGTCTAAGGGCTTGTGTTAGATCAGCACTTCAAATGGAAAACAAACATCAAGCATTAAGAGTGCACACAACCAAACACTTTCACAGAAACAGCCAGCTTAGAACGTTCGGTGTAAATGATATCAGGTTCAATTACTGGGACCAAAAAGTCCCAGTATGGACTGGACATGCTCACACACGTTAATGCCAGCGATTAAATTTCAGAGGCAGAGGTTTTAATTTTAAGGTTCTTATCAAGAAGCCAATCTGTAATGAACCAGAGTGCCCTAGAGAACTGGGTGGATACAATGCCATAATCAAAGTGAAAGAAAATGGCAGTTTTCACTCAGTTTGAACTATAACAAAGGACTTCCCTTTCCAACACCATCCTGTAAATAGAATTCAGATTTACCTGACACATCGAGGAATAAAGAATTAAATGGTCTAAGTTTATGAATTATACTTTAGTTTCTGTAATGTCTTGCTACAATCATTTGAGGCTGCATATTTTTCATCAGAATAGTAAATCTTCTTACCATATAGCATTAAAATGTAATTGTCATACAATTAATTTATTAGAAGATCCCACAAACTATGTTGGCAGATGAGATAGCATAGATATTTTCAAGGGTTACTTCAATTGACAATCAGTGGCAGATACTATGGTTGAGAACTCAAGAGGAATGTCCTGCGTAATAGACTGTTCTTTTTATTTGTTTATTCTCTATTTCAGTTGGCAGCTCATTGTCTGCTAGAAAGTGTGT